AGAGAGAGAGAGAGAGAGAGAGAGAGAGAGAGAGAGAGAGAGAGAGAGAGAGAGAGAGAGAGAGAGAGATGAGCGATCCAAGATTGGTTGTCACTTACCTGTAAGGCGAGACTGCAGAGTCCGGTGGAGAAGGAAGACGGCGGCCATAGCCGCGGAGCATTGACACAAAGTACCGGAGGAGAGAGAAAGGGAGGACAGACAAGGAGGGACTAAGGAGAGAGAAGAAGAAGTGTGGAAGGAGGAGATTGAAGAAGAAGACAGACATAGCCGGGGGTGAACAAAAAAAAAAAAAACAGAGAAAGAGAAGAAGGAAGAAAGTGAAGGAAGGGGAAGTAGACGGCGAGGGTGACGAAGGTGGAGGTGCCGGCAGCCATAGCCGAGGTGAGGAGTTGATCGGGTGTTGACCAGAGGGTTGACCAAGGGTTGACCAAGGGTTGACCAGAGGGTTGACCAGGTGTTGACCAGGGGTGTTGACCAAGCGTTGACTGGGGTTGACCGCGTTGACTCAACGTTGACCAAGGCGTTGACCGGAGCTGCTGACCAAGATTTTGACCAAGCTGGAGTTGGTGATATCTCGTTGAGCCCTTAACCTATCCCCTTACCCTCTGGATGTGCACTTACCCCATGGTACTTGCTGAGTCTGTCTGTCTACTCTTTCTGCATTAAGTCTCTTCTGTCCTAGGTGCTAGGACTCTGTGGATGAAGGATAGGGCCTTGCTGCCAAACCTGCACGGGCTTAGTAGGACCAAAGCTTTACTCTGGCATCTGGAGACCTGGGCATGAGCGGCGAGCGCTCGTTAAACAACTCGTTTAGCCCAATGACCGGTACTGACCGGCAGGTCTACTGAGTTCAGTGTAAAGGGTCCGAACTCCAAGCTGTAGGCTGAAACGAGGGCCGTCTTTAAGTGTTGAGGCCTAGTTGAACCACTCCCCTACCGGACCCAGAAGGCTGATGATCCGTGTCTGACGACTCGACTGTCCCGAGGGATACGAACCCCTCCAAGGACCGGTACCGACCGGCGGGCTGCTCGGTGTGGCACAGGAGGCTGGACGGGKTGAGTTGTGGACTGAAATCGCCAGAGGAGCCAAGTTGATCGCGTCGTCCTGTTGCGACGTTAAAGAATTCCTGCGGAGTTTGGGGGATCTCCTTAAATGCCTCTTGATCAGCTGCTGGTTCTGTAGTGACAGCCTTAGAGTAGTTGAGTAGTGGTCTTTAGAAAGTCATTCAGTAGGTCAGTGTCCGGGTAGGTCTAAGTGGTGAGAAGTGGGACATTGTCGTGCACCTAACACCACGATGGATGACTATCCGATGCATGGGTTGCTTGTTGGGTTCTCCCTCTAGGGGACCCTCTGGCGTCTCCTCTTTCCTTTGGGGTTCTGGCACGCGATGACGTGTAGAGTAGATACCCGGGGTGGTACATCCACCAAGCCATATTCAAAGGAGGAGGAGAAGATGGCCGCCATTCTGAGGGAAAGAATGAAGAAGAGAGAGGCCAAGAAGAAGGCCCTACAGGAGGAGCAGGCGGCCAAGTTGAGAAAGATTGAAGAAGACATGGCCAGAGAGAAGGAGAGAATCATGAAGGAAGAGAAGGCGAAGTTGAAAGAGGTGGATGAGGAAGAAGAGGAAGGACCGCCACTGCAAAGGAAGAGTGGGTAGCACAGTGGCAGTAAGGATGAAGAGATGGAGGAGCGGATTTCGAAATGGGTCGCCAACTTGTCCCTGGGTGAAGAGGAAGAGGTTGCTATGTACATCCCCAAGGATGAGCAAGAAGCCGCCATGAAAAAATGGGAAGCAGAGGAAGATGTTCTGACGCGGCGGGCGATGGAGGATGAACAGAGGATGGCGTGGAAGCTCGCGATGATGAGGGAGAAGAAGAGAAGAGTGGAGGCGGCGAATGCAGCAATACAAGAATTGGAGGAGGTGCAAAAATTGAGGTTACAATTGACACCCCAGATAGATCTCGAGCGGAAGGTGGAGATCATCGCCCAGAGCGTCGAGCGTTTAGCCAAAGTGCAAGAAAAGCACTATGAATTTAGTCGTAGCCAGGAGATATCTGTGCGTTCGATGCGAACGGGATTACGGGACTTTGCTTGCGAGTTAGCAGGCGCTGTGGGGTCCGAGGTGAGTCACCGCCTCGAGAAGACTGAGTGTTTTTGCGTCGGCGACATTGAGGGCGTCAACGCCGTCAAGGTGGCAGCTCCCAAGGAGAAGGAAACTCGTCCTCGCAGGGAGCCAGTCAAAGTCAAATTCCCTGATTCCTACAGTGGAAAAAGGGAAGAGAACTTTGACAATTGGGAGGCCAATGTCAGGACCTATGTGCATCTGCAACAGGTCTCCCCGGATCAGCAGGTCCTAATTGCGATCCACGCGCTTAACGATGAGGCCGCTAGTTTTGCAAGGTCCCTTGTTCGTGCTGCCAACTGCAGTGACGACCCAGTTGCATACTCCACATTCACCCCCCTCGTTGAGTTCCTGAAATTGCTGCGCGAGCGATTTGCTGATGTCGCTCGTAGTGTTAAAGCGTCAGATAGGCTGCAGACGATCCACGCCCGCAAGTGGAAGAGAGCCAGGGCACTCAAGAGTACAATGGATGAGTTAGTGGCTGTCCGTGACCATGGGGTTACGGACACCCAGTTGGTTGGCCTCTTCTATCTGGCCATACCCGAAGCCCTTCGAGGGCATTTCTTCGCAAAGAGCGAAGACCCTACCACTACGTATGATTCTCTTAGTCGTGAAGTGGTGGCTTTTGAGGCCAAGTCTATGTCAGTTTCCACCTTCTGGCACAAGGACTTGGACAAGGGTAAGCAATGGAAGGGCCGCACTATCTCAGGGCAAGTGAAGACTAAGGATACCCTTGTCCTGACCTTAGATGAGGGTAGTGTGGACGAGATCCCCTACGATCAGATTGAGTAGGGGCTAGAGGAGGAGGACAGTGGTCTGGGCTAGTGGAGGACTTACGCTGCTGTCGCGGCTGGAGAGAGGCCGCAAGGAGGACGAGGCCAGGGCCAAGGGGGCCGAGCCTCAAGGAGCCGGTTCCAGGGCGATCAGGGGGTTGGCGGCAGAGGAGGAAACCGCCAAGCGGGAGGCAGGGGTCAAGGTCCCCCGCAAAACCGTCCTAGGAACAGGTCTCCCTATAGGGTAGGAGGATGGCACCCGGGGCTACCGCAGGGTAGGCCTTGGGAAACTTTGGGTCTGGACCAGACTTTATGGCAACAACGATTGGACCGGGGCCAGTGCATTTTCTGTGGTGACCCGGGCCACATCATCAAATACTGTCCTAAGTATCGAGAGACCCGAACGGCTGCCCAAGGGCCAAAAGGCAGCCGCCGGTAGGGGTAGCAACTGCCCCTACCACTAGGCCATGTGAGGAACATAGCGCTAGCCGGCAGGAGACTCCCACACCACATGTGCCTATGGCAGAGGTTGCAGGCCGATATCTAGATAGTTGTCCCGAAACTGCTTGTGTTAGAGTTTCGCTAGACACCTCCCTCACAGGCGTGGCCGAAGAGTTGAAGGAGAGGATGCCCGCCTGGGCCAAGATAAACAAGGAGGATAAAGGGCAACTTATATTACTAGATACAAAGATTTTTAGAAGTAGAGTAGGGGCCCTAGTAGACTCAGGGGCCACCCGCAGCTATATTAGTAAGAAAGCGTTGCAGAAGTTGAAGTTGGGACTTAAAGTCCAAAAACTGACAGATCCCATAGTTAGTATCCTCGCGGACAATCGTACTATGATTGTAGAGGATAACGTAGAGGGAGTCCAGGCGTATTTCCGCCTAGCGAAGAATGGGAAAGTGGAGAAGGTCCTCCACTCCCTGACTCTCCTCGTAGAAGACAGCCTCCCATTCGACATTGTCCTGGGGATGGATTGGGGAGAGGCAGCCGGGGCCACACTCCATTTGAAGGAGCACGAGTGTAGGCTCCCTAGTTCTTCAGGCGAGGCTAAGACTGCCCGCCTGTTCCATGTGTCAGGCGTAGASAATTCCTTGGCGCATTGCCGCCTTAGTGCACCCGCGTTCGCCAGATTGGTGAAGAAGGAGAAACTGGAGGAAGAGGTCTTTGTCGCCTACGTTAGGCCGGTGGCTGAGCCTATGGAAGAAAAGTCGATGGACCCTTCGATTGCCAAGCTGCTGGAAGAGTTCAAAGATCTGATTTACCCACCGACTGTCACGGTGCCGCGGCCCATCCAGCACTGCATTGAGATAGAGCCTGGCAGTAGAACTCCTAAGGGTGCTGTGTATAGGATGTCCCCACGGGAGTTAGAGGAGCTTCGCAAGCAATTAGACGAGCTCCTCGAGAAGGCTTGGATTAGGCTCAGTTCGTCTCCGTTTGGAGCGCCTGTTCTCTTTTTCTCTAAGAAAGAGGGAGAGCTGAGGATGTGTATAGACTATAGGGGTCTGAATGCTATTACAGTAAAGAATGTTGAGCCACTGCCTAGGATAGACGATATCTTAGATCGAGTGCAGGGGGCGAAGTATTTTCCCAAGATAGTTTTGAAGTCCGGATATCATTAGATAGAGGTGCATCGTGATGATCAGTATAAGACATCCTTCTGGACTAGATATGGGCACTACGAGTTCATAGTGATGCCCTTTGGACTAACCAATGCGCCAGCTACGTTCCAGCGCTGTATGAACGATTTGTTTAGGTCATGGTTAGACAAATTTGTTGTAGTTTATCTGGATGACATTCTAGTGTTTAGCAGAACCCTCGAAGAGCATCAGGGTCATCTCAGGCAGGTCTTGGAGAAGCTGAGGGAAGCTAACTTCAAGATCAATGCAAAGAAGTGCGATTGGGCGAATTCCAAAGTTTTGTACTTAGGCCACGTCTTAGACGGAGACGGCGTTAAGCCAGAGGATAGCAAGATCGCAGCGATTAGAGATTGGCCCACGCCACGTACGCTGACAGAGTTGCGCTTGTTCCTGGTAGCTAATTACTACCGGAAGTTCGTTAGGAACTTCTCCACCATCGCTGCGCCCCTTCGCAGATTGTTGAGGAAGGAAACTATCTGGAAGTGGGATAAGGACTGCATGTCTGCCATGAAAAAGTTAAAGCAGGCATTGATAGAGTATCCAGTCCTTAAAGTCACCGACCTGTCCTTGCCCTTTGTCGTCACGACCGACGCGAGACAATACGGCAGAGGCGCAGTGTTACAGCAAGACGATGGCAATGGGTATAGACCCGTAGAGTTCATGTCTGCCAGAATGCCTTCAAAGAAGGTCGCGACATCTACCTATGAGAGGGAACTCTACGCTCTCAGGCAAGCCTTAGACCACTGGAAGCACTACTTGCTTGGGAGGCACTTCAAAGTCTATTCAGACCATGAAACGTTACGATGGTTAAAGACGCAGGCCAAGATGACACCTAAGCTTACTAGGTGGGCCGCAGAGATAGATCAGTATGACTTCGAGCTCAAGCCTGTCAAAGGGAAGTACAACATAGTCGCGGATGCTCTGAGTAGAAGGGCTGATTACTTTGGGGCGATAGTGCATTACCTTGATATAGGGAAGGACCTGCAGCAGAAGGTTAGTGAGGCCTACGAGCAGGACGCTGTTTATAGTGACCTCCTTAAGAAAGTGAACGAGGCCCCAGAGACTGAGCCGAACCACCGCACTACTGAAGGGTTGCTATTTGAGAAGACTAATGTCTTTGACCGATTGTGCATTCCCAATAGCGAAGAGATCCGTAGTCTGATCTTGGGAGAATGCCATAACACAGAGGGTCATTTTGGTTGGCAGAAGACTTTAGCCAATCTGATGCGGGCATATACCTGGCCAGGGATGAAGAATGACTGCGTAGAGTATGTTCGTACTTGTAAAGTTTGCCAGCGTAAGAAGACTACTACGCGTGACCCGTTAGGTCTTCTCAGACCCTTGCCCATTCCGGATCAGCCGGGAGACTCAGTGTCCATAGACTTCATGGACACTCAAGTCAAGAGTAGGCATGGCAAGAGCCAAGTCATGGTCATAGTTGACCGTTTCAGTAAGTACGCAGTTTTTGTTCCTTTGCCTTCAGAGGCACGTACTGATTTAGTCATACAGAGGTTCTTTGACTGTTGGGTTAGTGAGAATGGAATCCCGCTGTCTATAGTTAGCGATAGAGATAGTCGCTTTACCAGCCTGAACTGGCAAGAACTCATKGGAGTATACGGATCTAAGTTATTGATGTCGTCCGGCCGTCATCTAGAGACTAACGGTCAGACAGAGCAAATGAACAAGATCCTACAACAAGTTTTGCGCATGTATATCAGACCAGATTAGATTAACTGGGATGAGATGTTACCCAAAGTAGCTAGTGCGTACAATAACAGCGTGCATCTGTCTACATGTCGTACTCCCAATGAACTGCACAAGTCCTTTAGACCGCGCAGACCGTTTGAGGGACTCAACCGGGATCAGATTCACAGGTTGCTGCCCGGGACCAGAGAGTTTGCTGTACAGCACGAGAAGGAACTAGCTACTGTCGTAGAGAACCTCAGGAAAGCCCAGCATAGGATGATAGAGCAGGCGAACAAACATCGTCGCCCGTCACAGTTTCAAGTAGGCGATTTGGTCTGGGCTAGTTCTAGAGAGTTCACACCTGAGGAGAACATCTCGCAGAAGTTGCTGCCCACATATAGAGGACCGTGGCCCGTTCTATAAGTCAAGGGCGGCGAAGATGGACCGTCCTATACTATAGAACTCCCAGCACACCTCCACACTTACCCAGTTTTTCGTGCGTCGAAGTTGTTACCGTGCCAAACAAGTGATCAGTTTCCATCCTGTAGATGTATGATACCGCCTGATATGGATGGAAGGTATGACATCGATGGCATAGTGGCTGAAGATCTATTTAGAATTGGAGGTAGGGGTCGTCCACAGAAACAGTACAAGGTTCGTTTCAGTTATCAAGAACCGGAAGACGACCGCTGGTTTACCAGATCTAAACTTCTAGAAACAGCTCCCGATATAGTCCGAGCCTACGAGAGACAGCAGAGAGTGAAACGGTATTCACCAGTTCGCAGTAGCGAATGCAGATCCCAGGGCTCGATCCCTAGTTCCCCGTCTTACCTGTGTACAGTACCAGTGTCAACCCGTAGACTTGAACCCCCRACCTGTAGGACCGCCAGTGGTAGGCAGGTTTTCGTAGGTCACAGCTTAGAAGGGAATCGAACTRTAGACTTGTAGGGTAGAAGTCTAGACAGTTCCGAAGTCGTAGCTGTAGGATGTCTGAAGGGTCAAGGTCGTAGCTGCTACAGCACCGAAARGCCAAGTCAGAGGTTTCTAGAAGTGGCCTTTCGGAGTGAGCCTACGTTGAACAGAGGCTAGTGGTCAAGTGGTGGTAGGCCACCCTGCTGAGTCAACAGTCCCAGTTAGGCAGTCCGGTCCTGTCCAGCAAGTACCGTCYGGGACTGTKTGCACCAAGGGCCAAGGGACACAGGGCASACCAACKYAGCGCAGAAGTATAAATCAAGAGGCTGCGTCCAGCCATTCATTCATTCCTGCGGATGCCATGCGGAAGCGCTGCCTCAGCAGCTTGTGCGAGGAGGTCTGCAGTGCGCCYGAAGACGAAGTGGGCAGAGAAGTGTAGTGTAGCGATAGGGTAGTGGCAGCTAGCGCTGCCATAGCTGTAGTAGTGCGTGTGTGTGTTGCGTGTGGTTACCGAGTGACAGTGAGTGTTGCGTGTGGGACATCCAGGGTGATCCGAAGTGTGAACACTGAGTTGTCTGGGCGCTTAGTCGCCATAGCCAGTGGACGCGAACTTACCTGGAAGACATATCTCTGTGTACTGTGTGGGCGCATGTCGCCAGTTGTGTGTTGCTGTTCACGTGCATGAAAAGACTGAATAAGTCGAGTCTGATTGCACAAAGGCAAAATAGATCCGCGCGGCCTCTCTCTCTCTCTCTCTCTCTCTCTCTCTCTCTCTCACACACACACACACACACACACCCTGCGTGGACAGAAAACTTCAAAATGAGAATGAATGTTCCGCGAGAGGCAAGATTCATTCTCATTTTGCACAGAGGCAAAATAGCTATGCACGCCCTCTCTCTCTCTCTCTCTCTCTCACTCACACACACACACACACACACACACACACACACACACACACACACACACACACACACACACACCTTCGCACAGCAGCTACTCCAACCAGAGAACGTGAAGAGACTGAGTACAAACACACACACACACACACACACACACACAGCCTAAACACAAAACTGCAGAATGAGAATGAATCTTGCGCGAGAGGGCGGCAAGATTCATTCTCATTTTGCACAGCGGCAAAATAGATCTGCGCGCCCTCTCTCTCTCTCTCTCTCTCTCACACACACACACACACACACACACACACCTTCGCACGGCAGCAACTTCAACCAGAGAAAGTGAAGAGACTGACTGCTGTAGCATTTTCGGTGGCCTGCTACAAGGGGGTCACAGAAAGATGCATGCCCTTTGTGAGGGCATTTCGAGGACGTACCGACGAAACGTCACCTGCGTTCCGGTAAGGGCATAGCGCAAAGTTGTGCTCGATGCTGACAGGGGCCTGTAGAAAACTTCAGAGGCCCCAGGGGCACGACAAGGTAATTCGGCGCTCAGAGGGGCACGGGGCAAATTAATGAAAATTTCAGGGGCATCTCGAAAACTTTCCCTTCTTTGTTTCGTAGGTGTTTTGCTTGCTTGTGATGGGGTGTGAACTGACAGTCTATAGAGTTTTTTTTTTTCTTTTTTTCTTTTTTCAAAGCTATTTTCTTCTCTCAATTTCACCTCACACTACCTACCTACCACTACTCCTAATTGTAGGCATACGGGGAATCCTGTAGCAGCCAGAACTGTGTTCACGAGAGAACATGCGGGGGCTGCTCCCGACCTGCAGGTGGGCGATATCGGCTAGGGGACAGCCGGTAGCATCAGGGACTATGCCAACAGGACCAATCCCTGTGCCTCCCCTCAGGTTCCCTCCCCTATGAACATCAGCAGACTCTGCTAAATACCAATCGGGGGATCCACTGGTCTATCTCCATCTGGTGGTGTGATTGAGTGATAGTCTGCTTTGATTTTCGTCACAGGTATATATATATAGTCAAACAGAGCTGCCCGCAGTGTCGTACCCCGTTCACCGTTCACGGGGTCTGTGGACGGAGACCGGTCATGGAGTTCACGTAGTTCACAGGAGTTCATGGCGTTCACGGAGAGCGGCTTTTTTTTTTTTTTTTTTGTGGCTGGGGGGATATGCTTTTTTTCTTATAGGAGGGTGGGGGACATCGAAGGCTAACTCCCTATAATTTTTTCAAAAAAAAAAATCACGAATAATATTTTCTTTAATTTAAAAACGAAAAAAGAAAATCAACCAGCCAAAATAAGCATTTTCGTTTGCTATTTTGTAGGTCATTTCGATTTTTATTTTTTTTTCAATGTCATAACGCTGTGGGGCTTGAGGCGAATGTACTTGGGGGAGCCAAAAAAAAAAGAAAAACACCACTCTTTAGTGGTCGGTCCGTTCATCGTGAACGACCGTTCACAAAAAAAACACCAAATGAACGGCCGGTCACGTTCAAGTGACCGGTGCCGGTCACGTTCACGGGTCCGGCACTGGCTGCCCGGTAAACCGTAGGCAGAGAGGGAGAAGAGGACAACAAACAAGGGGCTGTGACAAACTGCTTCGTTGGAGTTTCACCAACCCATCAGGAGGCTGAACCCTCAACAGTCTGCAGAATCCCCTAACTGATTACACTGTAAGTGATAATCCACCTTAACCCCGGTTATGGTTAAGCATCAACGACTGTCCGACAACTGATACCCTGAGGTGGGCACCAACCACTGCCCTCAAGGTACCTGTGGCAGAAGTCAAAGCAGACTATCACTCACCCACACAAACTATACATATATATATATAGACACAGGTAACCGGCGTTCGGAACGGGCCGAACGCCCGAACGTATGGGACCCCTTGGGGATGCATTCGGCCGTTCAGGCCGCACGCGGACCCAAAAAAA